ACCTTCTTATCATGAACGAGCGTAATCCAGATGGATTTTCTTCAGATCATTTAATGTGCCAAGAACTGTGCACACCACTCTAATATCTTCTGCTGCAGATTTCACCACTGCTGTCTCAGTTGTACAGCTGGCTTGACAGCCAGAGGTGGAACAACAGAAAAAAAGCTACATTTCTCGATGGCTTGCCAAACAAGAAGCACAACTGATAAAGAGACTTTTGGAAAGTAATGAATAATTAATTTGACACAGCCTCTAAATTTCAAAAACTGAGTCATGTTCCTACGATTTCTGCACCTCTGCCCAAAAGTACAATTATAAATATTGTTCAAAGAATACATTTTACTTATGTTAGGTAATCTCCCAATAGCAGCATGTCGTGGGTTTCATTATGATAACGAGGAGGCTACCCCACTGAAAGAAAAAGTCATGGGCTCCGTACCAAGTAATATCCATCACAGAAATTGCTTGTTCATGCTACTGTGGTCAAAGCACAGGCTGAAGGATTGATGAAAACTGTTTTTAGGAAGCCACAAATATTTCTATTAGGCTGTTACAAGAGCAAAATAGCCGTGATGGGTGCTGTTTAGCCAGACTTAATTCAACTTCTGGCTGTGTTGTTAATCCTAAAATAAAGACAGATCATTCGTCAAATCTGCCAAGCAGTTCTGCTATTTCCCAGGCCGGTGCCTCCTTTTTCGTTCACCGACAGGCTCTTTCACAGAAGGCATTGCTCATTCCTTTATTGCACAATGCCCCTGGTTGTAACACCGCCCAGCTCAACACCCATCTGGACATCCCGAGACTCGGTGGCTCATTGCTCACGCCTTCCAAGGGCAGACTCGATTCTGTTTGTTGGACATCGTGCTGTGGGGCTTGGCGGTTTTAAACTTGGATATCCAGGTAGTCTCCCACGTATGTTCTTTTCCTCAGACTGTCTTACTTCATCTTTTTCATTTTACTTATCAAGATAACCTACAGAAGTTACTGAACGAAGTTTAAGATGACCTTCGGTAGCCCTTTAAATGACTTTCTGATGACAAACAGTAGTTAGTTGTTTTCAAAGCAGCTACAAAACTGATTATTAAGTCTTTCCTCATTTCATTTGTTTCTATATAAGGCTGTGAAGGTCATGCATCCCTTTCTCAACACTGAGAGTTAGAGGCACCTGCTGCCCACCAGCAAACACACAGCAGGTCTGTTCAGGCAGCTGCAATGACCACTCTCCAAGTCTGGATATGTATATCCACAAAAGAATTTGAAAACATCAAAAAGTACATAACAGGTTATTATTTTTCTTCCTTAGAAGGACAGATGATAGATTCAGTATCAAGGGAATGCAGTAACTAAAGGTGGTGTTAGCTTATGTGTAGTGCATTAGAAGAAGTATCCTTGCAAGTTCATTAATTATACATAAGAGCTTTCCTGGACCAGCAGATATTTTACCATCGACATGTGTACTGGGCAAAACTAAATATCCCGACCTCAGCTCATTGAAAAACACATCAGCATTTTCTTAACAAATTGATTTCTCAACCACTTGTTCAGCAAGTGTAACAGCCAGCCATTTCTCAGAACACATTAACTTCACTACCTGGATTACTTGCATACTCAGACACAAACTCCCATCCGAGCTAAAAAACAACGTACATATGAACAGGGGGAAAACACCCATCCATTTTAATATGGTAAATATTATCTTCTACACTATTATTCTGGTTGTTCATATAATGCCAATAAATGTGAAAAATTAAAAAACTAGAAATCCTGATCTGGTCCGAGTGTCAGTGTTTTCATCTCACAAAAGGGAATTTTGCAATCCGTAAATCTGAGCCACAACCACATACCGGCTCTGTTTATTACAGCCGGAAAAAAAAAACATAAAACCAAACTGGATTTATTCTAGTAATTGGACTGTGGAAATAAACCAGGATTCCTTCATTATTACCATCCACTACCTGTAGCACATAGATACTGCTTTTACAACAGCTGTCTGTTTACAGCAACGTAACTGATAAAGAGATTCCACTTACAGGCAGACTTCGAGAGAAGAAATGTTGACTAATCATTTTTTTTGTTCTTCCTAGTATGCGGGTAAAAAGTACCCTTTTTTGTTTCCTTCATGAAAGCATTAGCATTATGTAAAATATGTAACAAAAAATCTCAAGGTGCTCAGACTGACAAGTCTAGTCCGCCATGGTAGTCAGGTTTCAATTTATAAGAAAAAAAAAGTTTGTTGTTGAGCTTGTGACTAGTAATAATCAGCAATGAAAACAGACAAACATTTACAATGTAATCAGCTTCTTGTCTTTCTGTTATATCCTATTTTATCACCTGTAGCTAAGCAGATAGTACATAGCACATAAAAAACTTTGTAAAAGGTCAGGGAGGACAAAAGTAAGATTTTACAGTCACTGAATAGATATTATGGTGCAGCTTAAGCGAGCATGAAGCTTCATTTATTTCAGGAAGCCTTACCATAGATAAAGGAGCATGGTTACACAGCTTATAGGTTTTAGAGTATTGCGACAAAAATCATAAATGCATCAAGTAGCTCTACTGGAAGCAGCACACTTCTATGAAAGTCTGGTAGAAGTCTGCACTGTTACTCTGCTGAATGAGGCTTTAAATGCTTATTTTACTCCAGAGGTTAAAAAAAAAAAACATCTGCAAAAACAAATTCAAGTGCTCTTTAAAAAATATTAATAGTAATATTAAACACAAGTTTATTATTTATGGAACATCCTAGCATAGTTGTCCACATGGAAAGAGTAAATTACTAGCAATAAATAACATAATTCCTCTAAAGTCAGCATTAAAATATTACAGCTGATAGAGAGAAACAGTAATCCTATCGTGTCTGCATTTTGTGATCACTTCATCAGCTAAGAGCTGAATAAGCTATTACAAAGAAAGCAATGGAAATACCACATGTGTTTGTATGCATACGTGTTTCAGTTTCAATAAACTGACAAACCATTGGTAACAAAATCCCTCCTCTACAACAATTTGCAGATTATCTCAGTTGCTCTATAACAAGAAAAAGGAGACACTTGAATCACAATAGAAAAAACCACCACTGCGGCTGGTATTGTAATCACAATATTTACTTACCCAGCTTATTTTCTGAACAACTCACTGCTAACATAAAATATACTTACATTTGACCTCAAAGCAATAACTGTATGGCTTCTAGAGTCTGTTACTGTCAGAGAACTACTATGAAGACAGAAGTAGAAACAAACTTCATTTCCACTGGGAAATGCCTCCAATGAAATGAGTTCTACTCACTGCTTCAAATGGACAATTAGTAAACACTTTAACCAGCAGATACACATGGGTTAGTGCCAAGCTCTATTTTAGCCATTGGTTCTATCCAGCCTGGAGATACTTGAGCAGTAATGTCATCCAAACAGACACCAGCACAATATATTAATCAAACCTTAAGATATTGTTTCTTAAAGTTTTTTTCCATCATCACTATTTATTGTAATTGCTTCAGGGAGGTATTTTAAACTTAATGCATCAAGAGTCAAAGAAAAAAAAAGCCTGAAGCTCTAATAAGACAAATAGTGTTCTTTGCCACAGATCAAGCCCGAGGCAGCATAAAGCTAGATAGATTCAGCAAACTGAAAACTACACAGCTCCTTAAAGGTTGCTTGCGAGTACTAACGCTGCAACTCTGGCCAACTCCAACAACAACAAAATTAATTCACCCTGAGAACTGATTAGTCATGTATCCTAGTCAAGCAGGAACAATGGTCCTTTGCCTACCAACATGTAAACAACAACCTGAGTTTGCTTCTTCAAATTATCCGCAAATCTATTGAAAATAACAGCATCAGGTCTCTCTTTTGTCCTACTACAGAAGCAAAATATACAGGTCTGTTTTTCATTTTATATGTAACTCAGAACCTGTAACAATCCTGTCCTATCTCAAATTCCATCTGCGACTAAGATGTTGTGTTGTATTCCTTGTGGCAGTGATGTGGTTCACCCTGTCACTAGTCTGCAAGTGCCATACCTCTTTAGTTGCTTGTTTCTAATCTGTCTTCAGTCTAACCAAAACCAGAGATACAAGGGAAAGAATTCCAGAGATACAAGGGGAAAAGCATTACTGCAAGAAAAGCAGTAGCATAAAATGCACACACAGGGCTTTACTACATGCCTATGAGCATGCTTTTATTTTGTGACAAATGAGACACAGAAGACTTCTCTCACCATGTGATGACTTGAACATCCTGGTATGGACAAATGCTGGTGGGACAGAGCAGCTGACACTAACTCTGCTGGCATGCTGTAGCTGTGTTGTCACTTGCAGAACCCCTCTCCCAGGCTTCTTGTCAAAGGCATGACCCTAACAAAGCTTGCATCTGCTCCTTTTTGCCATATTTAAACACCCTCTCAACACAAGTATTTATTTTGCTAGGAAAACCAAGTGTAGGAAAGATTTAAGCATGCAGTTATGACAAAAGACAAAACTAATGATTTCAAATGACTTTTTAAAATGCATAAGCTGAAGGTACCAGGGTAGGTCATCTCTGTGTGTCAAATCATAAGAGCTATTAGCCAGGGCAGGGAATTACATTTTTATCTCATAACCAGAACACATATGTTTTCTTTTAATTAACACCCAGTCAAGTGCATATGGTAGAAATGCAGAGCATATTCGTACCAACTCAAGTAATAAGGCTTAGTGAAAAAATATATGCTGAGTTTCATCTTTCTAATGCACACACATTTAAAAGTATAAAACATTTACTGTGAATAAAGTAGCTTATACATTTTGGCATAGAATATAATTTTCCTTGGTGTGTCCAAGTTACCACTGAAAGTCTTCCTCTGAGACTATAAAAGATCAGTGGACTTACGAGTGCAATTGGTATGGGCTAGACTTTTGAATTCTGTTTAAGATACTTCAAATTTCTTTAACTGAAAAAACATATTGTTGCATAGAGAGAGAAAATACAGATTAAACAGCCCACATGTGCTGCCATACCCACCTGCTACATTAAGCTTTTCGACTGCTCCTAAGCTGGGAGCAGGAGTGGTGCTAGTATTGTTGGTAGAGTTTGCTCCTGTTCCATTCAGTACAAGATTTTCCACCTTGGACTCTAGCTTCCCAATGCGCTGCAAGATATTATCCAACAAGACAGCAAGCGTTTTCTTCAAATCTGTAAGTGAAAAAGGAAGTTATGCTTAATAATGCAATGCACGCTATAAGCACCAAAAAATAGAGACAAGAATGAGACTGAAATACACACACACACACAATCAGTGCAAGTCTTTGTCATTAGCAGTTTTGTGCTCTAATGTTCCCTGCTTTGTTGAGCCTCAGGTATAAGTTTCCCTGGATGTAGAACTGGTCTTTCTATGCATTTTATAAAGCACACTGCAACTCACGTATGCATCCTACACTCGAGGGGGAAATGTGCACCCATGTGGGTATAACCACAGAAGAAAAATAAAAAAAATACTTGCTTTGTAGTAGCTCAAGTAATAGTATGTTGCTTAAGTAACAATGAATGTCTGCATCTTACAAGCACCTACCACTTGCCTTCAGGTACTATGGCGGAACTTTGCATAGACACACAAACACCTGCTGCCCACCTCTAATTCAGTACCTACACGTTGCTGGTGGGTTTTGGGATGTCTTAAGCAAAATGAAAGAGCTTGACTCCAGCACAAATACATGGGGCACAAATCATTCCAATTTTGCAAAACTGCTCATTCAATTTACCAGAATCAGCTGGAGCTATCAAAATTAAGCATCAAGTAGAAAGGAAAAAAGGAGAAATCAAGGACAAAGTACTTGAATTTAAAAGCAAAGCAGGCATTAGACTTGATTGAGGTATCTGGCAGGGAAGTCTTTGCCATATTTCCCAACTACTCCAATAGCAAGACCTTAATCCATATTCAAGTGCCATCAGAGGAACAGAATTTAATGCTCTGTAAGATTCTCAGTCACTTGGAAACCACAATGCCAGTCCCAAAAGAGGGGACAGCTTTGGGCCAGCATCAAAACCTTCTCCTGCATCTATTCCGCCACAATCAGGTTCTGCACTGGCACACAGTGTTGAAGTCCAAACTTTCTGTTGTATACCCAAAACACAAAAAAATCACCCATTTCTTTTGTTCATTGTGCTGGCAATTGTTTGTACTTATCTGTTTGTACTTATCTGTTGGATCAGAAGTGGCACTTCACTTTGCATGGAAAGCAACAAACAGCAGTAGGAGTTTGCATATCCATATGACAACCAAGCAAATGTTTCCCGATTTTTTGTTTTCTAGTTCTTTTGTTCAGTTTTCTTAAAGTAACAAACATGTGGGTAAGCTAAAAGAACTGTGGGCAATGGGGGGGAGGGAGGGAAATAGACCGCTATAATACTACACTTTAATTAAAGTGGCAACAAGCCAAATAAGATGAAAGAAAAGTACTGTTCTTTGTTCGTTTACTTGTCTCATGATTAAAGAATTTGGTATGATGAATTTACATTATTTTCCCATTTAATTACATAAAATAATTACATGTACATTGTATAATACACTTTCTGCTTTCCACAAATTTAAAATCAAACAGCTTTCTGATCTGCAATAAAAAATTCCTCCATACACCTGAAGGGATTCATTTGCCCTGGTATCAGCTGCAGTTTTGCCATAAGAGATTTTGTGCTCCTTATTGTTTTTCTTAGGGACAGCTCAATTCTTGTGCAAATGTGAGAGTAAATAAGAGAAGGCTACTGCATTTAGAAAGCTTATTATTTTTATTTTTTTCTAACAAACGAGTTACATTTCTTCCATGGAGCCATAAAGAATGTATTTTTCTTTGTGATTGTGTGTTTTCTTTAGTCTACATTAAAGATCAGAATGTGGAACCTTAAGTGCTAATAATACAGTGCCTTCATACAATTTTAAATATTGATGTGGTGCAACAAATAAAAGAAGCATTTATGAAAATCAAATGATTCAGTCAAAGTCCAGAAGTTACTTAATGGGATAGTGTGCAGAAGAAAAGCAAAGTGTGGAGGAGGGACTTAAGATCAACAAAACCATGGTAGAGAGAAGGAAAATCTAAGAAAAAATGGTAGTACAAAAAATTCAGGAAACAGTGAGGAAGAAACACAGTACACAAAGGCACAGACAGAGCATCAAGAGAAAAACAGCTGAAACTTGTAATCTTTTAACCCTGATAGTGAAACTTTTTAACCCTAATGCTGAAACATGGAGGTAAGAGACTGCTTCCTGGAACAAAAAAGCAACTGAAGGCCAGTTTGAGAAGGGGAGTGTAAAACAACTCTTTACTGTTATAAAAAACTAATACTCATTTATATTTGGAATACAACTTTTTAAATGAAGATGTTTGATCCACCTGACAGGCCGATAATACAGTAGAAAGCAAAAGAAAGAAAACAAGCTATGCAATCAAGATTAATGAGTGACTGAAAATCTTTTGAGTGGGTAAAAGTGGCCAAAATCAAGGAAACTTGGAGCCTGCACACAGGAATCACGAAGCCTGTTCACTAAGAGCAATCAGAGGATTACAAGAAATAAAAAGGCCAAATAGCAAGGGCAGTTGTCATGGAATAATGAACCAATTTCTACACACTATCACTAACCTTAGACATTAATGGGTTTATTTCTGAACAGCTAACCTGATAATTTGCTATTAATAAATCATTTGGTGCACTAAGGAAGACAGACTAACGCTCTTACTCAGTTTAATGCAGCATTATTTCATAGGGTGCCATTCGCTCCCCATAGCACCTTTCCCACTAGCATTTTAAATACATATATTACCATGATTTTACATCCTTCAAAACTCCTTAATTTGAAAATGCTTGTCTACACTTGTCTTTAAATTGCAAATTCTTCTTAGCTGTAGACCTTGAAATTTCTCTGCAAGATTTAGCTGTAACTTACAGAAGTGTTACAGAGTTATTTCTCCCACCTTCAAATGCTGTTAACTTCTCCTGGGGAACCTGACCACTATTTGGCAGCAAGTCAATGTATTCCACAGCAGGACTTGGAGCAGGAAATGAAAGTCACAGGCAAAAAATTGCAGGGGGAGCTTAGCTTAAGGATATCCTAGCTATGGCACGGATTCACGCAGTTACCCTTCAACTTCTGGAGGAATATATTGTTTTGCTTTATTTATTTTTTTCTTCAATTCACCTAAAATCAAGCAACCTTACAAGATAAAGGGATATTGATAATGGTTATGTATTAGATAGTTTTTATTTTTTTAAAAAACTATGCAAACAATGTAACTGCAGGTTAAGAGAGGCAACCCTTCCCTTCTTGTCACCATTGGTGAGGCCCCACCTGGACAAGAGGCCACGGGCACCACCCAGAACACAAGAGCTTCCATCTGCCACCTGTGCAGGTAACAGAGCACTGGCAGAGCTTGCCCAGAGAAGCTGTGGAGTGTCCCGCCTTGGAGGTCTTGAGAAGTCACCTGGACGTGGTGCTGGGTGGGCCCTACAGGGGGCTGGGACCAGGTGACCTCCAGAGCTCCCTTCCAACCTCAACCATTCCGTGATTCTGTGAATCCTTTAGGGACCTCTATGTGCTTGGAGATATTCAATCCAGATATTTATCTAGCACCTCTCTATTTTGCTTGTGTTGCTCTGTAAGATTACAATAGCAGTAGAGATCAAAGTTAAAGTCACAGAGGAACTGAAGAACAGGGAATGCTCGTTATTTAAGCAACAAAGCAATTTAATTGTTAGCTATGTCAGGGACAACAATATCAGCCTTACAAAAAAGCATCGTCATACAAACTTTTTTTTTTTTAAGAGAAGTGGTAACAGAAACAAGATGACATCCCAGCATGATATTTTCATTATATGCAAAGAGAAAAACAAAAGAAAAGAAGCGCAGCTTTGATCTGCTGCACCCTAACCTTCATTCCTTTTTAAGCCTAGAAAAACCAGATGATCTTCTATAGCAAAATATGAAGACAAATATTAAAAGAAAGACATCAAGATGACTAATTAGCAATTAATTCTCCAGATAGTCTGAAAGGACAAAGATAAGTAGTAAAGAAAGTGAGCTTAAAAATCAATCAGATTCTATCAGATTAAAAAGGGACCTCACCTCACTTGAAATTAAATGATATATTTTTTTCATGACATTTTGTAGTAACACACCACGAATTTCTTTCTTTCATGCTTTCACACAAACCGAACTGCCATGTAGTATGAAATGGAGGTGGGGGAGCATTACAACCTACTACGCAGAAATAACTGCCAGACAAGCACTGAAACTCATGAAAGAAACTTTTCTACCCTGAGGTAAATATGACGTATTCAAGCTTAACAGTAAGCCTAGGCCACATCCATAATCTTAAATGTTAGGTAAATTGACTGGACACAGAAGTGCAATGGAAAAGAGGAAAAATAAACATTGCAGGTCTCTGCTTTATCGCTGAGGCAAGTTATTTTTCCAGAACGAATTTTTTAAATCACTGACATGTAAACTGAAAAGCTTCCCAAGGTTCTCAAGAACAGCAAAACCACACATTTTTTTAAATCAAGTTCTAACAAATAACCTGAGGCATAACAGACACTGTTACAAGACGGATGCAGTAAAAAAAAAATAATTAAAAATTAGCTGATAACTTCATTCCCAAATGACTGAAAATTTAAATTTTGTCCCACTTCGTAACTTTCAAGTAAAGAACGTTCTCTCCATCTGTGCAGAAAACCCACAGTATGAAGTACTGTCAACTGAGCAGCATTAGGAAGTACAATGTTTGGACAACTTCGAAAAACCCTTTATCAGATTATCACATAATCTAGGACACACGCTTACCGTATGCTGTCACTGTTCCGACATAAGGCCCATCAACCACATTTTTATTTTCTTCAGCTAATGCTTTGATGTATCTTTTGCTGAGATCCAAAATTTGCTCACGCAGGACTGAACTGCTTTCGTGCTGTGTTTGCTGCTGAATAGTAAAATGCAGAAGCATCATTCCCCAAATAAAACCAAAAGTCACCAGAAAAAAGCCAAGTTTCTGAGAGGACAGCTTCCATGGAGAGAATGCCATGATTCCCAACAGCTTCTCACGGAGTTACTACAAAGGGTCCTAAAGCATAAAGCCAAAGAGCAAGTTCATGGTCCGGGTATATACAGATCACAGAGCAGGACTCAATCTTGTTCCAACTCCTTAGTCAACGTGTATCTGTATCTCAGTTCCATCCTGTTGAAAGAGGAAAAGAAAAGTAGCACAGTTAACACAAAATACTAGGAATTTTTACCAGCTTTACTAGGTCTCCATTGTAAGTAGTATAAAACAAGAGTAGACAATATGCTTTTTTTGTAAATGTTTAGTTTGTACATATCAATATTGTACTATACTAAAGCACAAACAAGCCAAGAAAAGCCCTGGAAAAAGAACAAAGAGTGATGCGCCTGAGCAGGTGAAGAGCACCTCTCAGTACCTGGATCAAATTCAATGCTTGAAGCTGTTTCCAAGCTGAATTTCAAGGTAAGGCTGCTTTAACATTTTTTTTCTCCTCCCCTGTGTGTGTACACAAAAAACTTTGTGATGTTGCCAATGCAGCAATTTAAGACAATTCTTAACATAATTCAGTTCTCAGAAAACACGTAATTTTAGCTGGCAGTGACACTGTTAGGAGTTCCTGGCAAGAGCTATGGCATATGGCTAGATAGATGATCAGGAAATCAGACTCCCTCAGGGGTAAAGAGCAAAAAAAAAAAAAAAAAAAAAAAAGTAGTCTACATTATTTAAACCAATCCACTCTCCTGGCTTACATTGCAAGGAGTCAGAAGGCTGAAATAATCTCTTCTTGCTCCTGTGTGGCCTCTGCCATGCATCATTACTCCTTATTCATAAAATGGAGTCCAATGAGTTTGCACTTCACAACTAAATTCTACACACGTCCCTCTGAATGCTACAACACATCTTTTGTATATAAAAATTAATATTCTCAGAGCCTTTCCCACACTAAGGAAAAAAGTTGGCTAACTGCCTTCAAGACAAACAGTAGGACCATCTTTTCATGGTGAACTCAAAAATAAAACCTGGCATAAGCTACCCAAAGGCAAGGAAAGCTCTGTGATGAGGGCTGGAGGCAGGGTCCTTAGCGAAAAACCCTACAAGAGAAGAAAGGTAATTAAAAGGTAATTAAGCGTAAGCTATCGTGTTAAAACACGGATTTGGTAAAATGCGATCCTTTTAACTTCATAATGCTCCCAGACAGGATTAGAAAACAATGTTCCCTCCCATTCTGCACTTGCCCAGATAATGCAGATGTTACTCTCATTTAATAGGATAATTACACAGATGCATGCTAGCAGCACTCTGCTTTTGTGAAAATTCCCTTTAGATCTTCCCCTTTCAGTCCAGCTAGGGGTTCTGCAGAGGGACAGAAATACCCCCGGACTACCTGACTTCCACCATGACTTCTGCGTGCGTTTACTGATGACCACTGACTGTGGAAGTGTGTTGTTACACAGAACTGGAAGCAGAAGCGGAGTAACCGCACCGAGCGTCTTTGCTGCTAAAAGAACAATTTGAAGCCATCTGTTGCTTAAGGAAGAATGGTGCAGAAAAATGAATCACGAGTTCATGGAAAAAAAGATTACAAAGGATTAATGCTGCTCTTCATAAACTTAAGTGAATTTTCCCAGAAACAGCAGAGGGAAGTTTCACTTCTTTTGGTTTATTTAGCTATAGTCTTGGGACATTCTTGGGCTGTCTGAGAAGTGCAACACTTATTTCACTACAAATTGAATGCTTTACTAATTCTCTTACAACATCTGATGTGAAAAAAATACAGAAGATTGTTGTTTAAAACAGCATTGCAATTTGGAAATGAAATACCTAATATCCAACAGGAATCCCTTCAGTGACTTAATTTCACCTAAGAATTGACAGAGTCCTCTGCAGCAATAAGATCTGTGGTTAGAACAGTCAACATTTTGTTCCCCATTATCAGCTTTATGCAACAAATTAAATATTGAACAAGAAGGTAAAGCTACCACCACCCTTGTTTTAACAGACAAGCCCTAAACAACTGTTCATAAAACATTGTTAGCAAAAGCACACAGAACATTAACAATATCAATTACAAAATAATGCAAGTATCCCACAGTTTTATTTAAGTTCTAGAGGAAAACCAAGGATGATTTTAAACATCTGTCTAATGCTCCTATGAGCATTACCTACTTAAATACAGCTGTTGACTTCTTTATTCTGTTCATCAACAATCAGATAAGAGCCTTAAACACACCCCCAAATGGTAAGAAGGCAGTCAGGAAATATGAAGGTTTTTCCGTAAGAAAAACAGAGAAACTACTCCCCACATCCAGCCCTATTTTTTGCTGCCATTAAAGCACTTCCAGCGAGTAGCACCGAGATGACCAGGCAGTATTTGTGCAGCTCATCAACTTACAGCGCTGCTGGTGGGCAGGAAGGCTTTCAGAGCACACAGGACAAGACTCTGGGCTTCAGGCTCCTTCCGTGGCTGGACTGCACGCCTGTGCTGGCCTTGGTGTATGTTTAATCCTAGCTTTGATAGACGTTGATGACAACACAACTATTCCACAGGCAGTGACTGCCACGTACTTACAACGACACATACGGTATCTAAACAGACATGGGTCAGAAGACACCAAGGGATAGGTGAAGGGCATGGAGACAGAAATATCACAGAGATGTTCTGGCAATAAATTAATGAGTGACTGAAGTGAGCCACAGGTGAAGTTATAAACGCATGCGTGCCCATCATAATTGCTTATGGACTTTGGCCATGCCTTCTGACTAGTTATTTCTCTGCCCATATCAAGTAAGCCAATGCCAAGCTGTAGGTGGCAGCTTATTTCCCTATTCCCCACCTCCCCCTTCATAAGTCCCCTGAAAGGAGCTGATGCTCCTTACTCCGACCTCGCCTGTTCTCCGAAGTGCAAAATGGTAAGCAGTAGCTGAAGAGGATTTGCAAACAGATTTGTACATGCTTCTGCAGAATGTGGGACTGCATCCCCCTTCCTCAGGGCTTGGAAAGAGGTGCTCTCACTCTAGCAGAACTCCTGAACTACTTCCAGCACCCCTCTAGGAACTGGCTATGTCATAGTTGTGAAGTTGTATAGGAAACTGTTAGAAAGATGACCCCTCTGAATTCCTGGGAGCCCCTACTGTACCAAAACTACAAGTCGAGCGTGAAAAACAGGGTGAAAGTGAAAAAACATACCAGGCAAAGCAAAAAAATGAACCACAACACTAATAAAAAATGGTTTTGTTCTTCTTCAAATTCAACTGCAGCCAGCCAAATCTCACCACAACTGAATCCACGCAGTCATACTTCTTGGTTGTTTTTCTTTTTTTTTCTTTTAGTTGCTGACCATCTTCACACCACCAAGCAGTGGGCAGACAGCAGGCACAGCAAAAGGCTCACTCCGTATCTGCAAAGGGCAGCACACTGCCCTCCCAGCCTGGTGGGCTCGCAGAAGCAGAGGAAGAGCACTGCAGCCTCAGGACCCACTGAGAGCTTCCAGCAGCTGCTTTTTGTTTGTTCTTCCAAGAGGTAAGTTCCGCAATAACCCATTTCACAAGACTTCGGGAGAAACCTGACACCAAAGTAACTCCCAGCACCAACCTGGTGGTTTCCCCGACGAGAGCACAGATGCAGCCAGATCATTTAGTCTGCTGATTCCAACAACTGATCACTTAATTTACTTCAACTGCTAAGGTCATACACTTGAACCACCCCAAAAATAAATTCTCCTAATTCTGCTGGGATCAGTCCTGTAACAGACAAGGCACACAGATCTGAAAGGAGCAGAAGCAGCTAGCAAAGCCTGCAATGCTAACCCAAGTAGGCATACACAAGATTTGCAGCTCACTGGAGCTGCACACATCCTCTACGTACCTCAAAGACAATGCCAGCATCTCAGGAGGGAGAGGTAGCTGAAAATTCATGCAACTATCCCAGCCTTGTCTAGTAACCAATGTTTACGCATGCTTTTAGTAGGGGTACAATTTAGGTTCCTTAGTATATAAAAGAAGGCATAACAACATTTCCTCATCTGAACTACGGAGCCTGAGTTTTGTTCTTCCTACTGCTCAACTTTATTTTCAGCAATGCTCCCACCAGCTGGTTCCTTTCTTCTAGCTGACAGATGTCACTGCTTCTCCTCTCTCACCCCCCTCCACAGCTGAAAGGGCACCGCACGCTGCTCCCGAAGCGGCAATTTGGGATGCAACACCACCAAGTGAGAAAAGCAGAACACCACCGGGGCACAACAGGAGAAGCAGGCCAGATGGACTGAGGGAGAGTAGGAGTATAAATACTCCGAGTTTGTTTTTTAGACGGGGGGGGCATGTTTGCTTTCACGCGTATATATATGTGTGTGTGTGTGTGTGTAGTAGAAATTGGCAGGAGGCGGTGGGAAGAAAGTTGAAGGAGAGGAATTGATAAGATGCCATAAAGAAGTAAATTTGCATCTTGAGCAAGCAGCTTGCCTGCACTTTCAAAAATAAATTTCTCCACTTAGAAACAGTTTGGGTGGCAACTCAAGCAGCATTTCCCCATGTGGGCCTGTGATTTCACAGAGCACTCCAAAATGTTTCCAATTTTCTACCAAGCACAGCATTTTCTGCAGTTTAGTCCTACATAACATACATTGTCATTCTTCTTTTTGTGTTGTTTGCTTACCTTGGTATTTCAGGGAGGAAAGACAAATAAAGAGGAATGTTTACACAGAAGTGATGACAATGGCAAACCTCCCCACAAACACATAGTAAATCACAGCCAAGATAGAAGAGAAGGATACAGGACACTCTCCAGAATGCAGAAAGCCTGTTTTTCCCAAAACTGTGCAGAAGGATCAATCTACCTGCTTCAGCCATCATGCAGAGTGTCCCAACCACTACTCTTTGCTCTTTCACACTGAGCACTCACTGCTAAGTGCCATCCTCCAGCATCCTACCTAAAACCCTCTCCAAACTCACTAATTGTACCAATTTTATATTGCACAAACAGTTTTCCAAATGTTTTCTGATCAATAAGATGCATCTCGTATCTTCTTATACTGCTTAATTCAACGTTTTACTGTACCTGCTCTGTCTTCAAAGAACTCATAAAGGACTTTCAATAGATCAGAGACCATTCTTGTTTTACGTTAAGATGCACGCCAGCTTACGCATGTTTGGAGCATGGACTGGCCAGAGCAAAGAACTGCATCAAAACACAGTTGATGAACAAGCCAATGAAAGAATACCGCTCAGACAGTTGACCTACAGCTCAAAATTTCTTTAGTTTCAATACCAAAGAAGCTCAGAACTGAAGATTTTACATGGAAGAAAGATGTGACAACGAATTTTGTGTGATCCCGTTGTTTTTAACCCACGCATGTTAAAAAGGGGAAAAAAGGCTGCAAGAAAATCCATATGAAAAAATCCTTACAGACTGAAATTCTTATGGTTCAAGTAATTCTTATGGTCTAAAGACATTCCAGACAATGAATTTAAGGTCATAACCAAAACCTATCCCAGTCTTTTAATAACAGTACTTACAGATCAAAAACCTGAATTAATTTTAGGATTAGGAATTGGAAGACTTCCTCAAAGTTCAGAAAACCAGAAATATCCCTGACCTTGAACAAAATTAATTTAAATGTTTGCAGCCATTTACAGGCAAATTGCAGGGTACATTAATAACATTTATCTTGTCATTACATTAAAACAAGATTCCTGAAATATAATTTTCTCACTGAAAAAATGACATTTGGGGATGTCAGCATGGTGATCAACAGATTAGGAAATAGTTACTTTTTTGTTATATATAGGAGGAAGTAACTGAAAAACAGACTGTGAGCCCCAGTCATTTTAAGACTTAGAAAACATCCCTAAAATCAACAAAGAAGTATGCATGAGTCATATTTTCTTGCCTTCAAGAGTCCCTCATAACTCAACAGGCAAACCTTAAGTCACTTCATTAATTTTAATGAATTTAAGGAACAGGAATCATGGATCAGATTTTTTCTGATCCAAGCACACACCTTTTTGTCTTCCCCTCTTTGCACCTACCCAAAGGTGACATCCTACTCAAAGCCTAACACACAACATCCTCGTACGCCATTCTCAAACTTACAGCTGAATTATGACCACTGAGAGACATAACGCTGGGACTTGCTGAGAAACACAGTCTCACAGTTTTTAGATCACCTGGAAATTCTCCAAGCCTATGAGCAAAATGCCTTCGGTTATTACACAGCAGTCCTGTGTGTGCAGCTTGGGCTCAGGGAATTCTCTCCCGCCTCCATGGGTCAGAGAGTATAGCTGAAGCTGGAGGAGCTAACAAAAATTGCTTTGAACTTAGTCAGAAAATATTTTAAATGAAAAATGGAATTGAATTCAGCTGATAATCAAAGCACCCAAATTACTTCGCACTCTGGGAACTAATGTTTATTACAGAAAAATGGAATCGTTAGCTCATTTCACGCACCGAGCAGACACTCCAGGCCCCCGTCTCTCCCACCGCTATTAACCACAACTCCGCCTGTTACATCACATCTTGCGGTCTGTCCAAGAGAAAAACAAGCAGCTCTCAACAGCAGCCCTGTCCAGCTCACAGAGCAAAGTCAAAAAGTGCTTTGTGTTCAGCAAAAAAGCTCTCATCGATGTGGATGCCCAAGTACCATCTCTCATCAACCTGATGGCCAACAGGCTAAATGCAGCCTCTGGCAATTGTGCCAGACCCCATGCAGGCAGCTGAGAAAGTTCAAGATTTAAGGAAAGATCCAAACATGTTGATGTTTACTACATCTTATTGGAAAAGTTTTAGACAACAAAAGATGCTGAAGAATTAATACATCTCTGTAAGAAAATTAACTTACTTCAAGTTCTTATCATTTGCAGGGGATGCAGAATAATCAAAACATGAAAGAAATTCTTATTAAGCTGGCTTTCAATAAATTGCAGCTACAGGATTATACATCCAAGCTTTCCATAAAGGTCACACCAAGACAAAAAGACAGGAGACTCAAGTTAAAATAGAGAAGAATTAGAAAGAAATGCATAGGAAATTAATGTGTGTGTGCTACTGAGCAAGTGCGTATCAGATCATAGATTGTTTTTTCCCCTAGCTGAGCATTAAATAAGTCTTCAGAAATATTTATTTCTCGTTGCTTTAGAACACGTTGAACCTGGGTCAAAGTATAACATCTCTTCCTACAGATTTGTTCTTGGCAAGCGTTTTGAACACATTCCAATTTATGTGGTTAGACAAATGGTTGAGAATACGAGCTGCATCTCCGAAGCACAGAATTTAATGGAATTAAAGTTTCAGCAGTCGCCCATTTGGAAGTGACAGCGCTGTTGATTATTCCGTTGCTCTAGTTTCTGTATTTAAGGCCTTTTCTTTATTATGGGAAAAGATTAGATACGAAACAAATTGCAATCTCATTTGAAAGTTAGTAAAACTTAGTAGAACAGCAAAACATTCCAACATATATCCCACACCGCCTGTGTACACCCTGTTTATAAGCATTGGTATTTATCAACTGCTGACACAATTAGATGAGCACTCAAAATTAA